AAAATCAATTTCCAGTATACATTCCAGTCCAGACTTTCACCATATTGAAAGTGATCAATGTCCAGAGGCTTTCATTCCAATGTTTATAAAGACTGGAGACATAATACTCTGTTCAGAACTGGAAGGTATCACAGTGGGAAAAATCCTGAATATGAGTCAGAAATTCTGCATTCAAATTCGGGCTTTAAAAGCTTTTTGACATTGTGTAGGTGATAATCTAACTGAGCCACTTTTGTTAACTACAAAAAGTGGAGATTAAAATCCTCTGCCCAACCTACATCTGAAGAGTGCTGTGAGAGTCGAATAAAATAATGTCTGTGGGATGTGCCTCATAAAGAATAAAGTGCAGCACAGGTGACGATGGGATCAGTATTGTCAGCTCAGCCTTCAGAGAGCTGACAGACTCAAAGGAAATAGCCCCTAACATGGTACAGTGAGGAAGCTGACCAGAATACTGACATTCTTCAAATATCTTGTTAAAGATTTACCAGATTAGAAACACTGCCTTCAAATTCTTCTCAGTGCAGAAAGCACTCTTGTTTTCTAACAAACCGTTAGGTGTGTTTGTTTTCATCCTGCCAAGTGTACAGCACCCTGGTGGGTAGCATGAAGGAGAAAGAAGAGAGTGCACAGTGCCTGCCTGGAGCAGCTCACAGTGCAGGGTGCACCAGTGGCAGGCTCGAGGCTGTGTGTGTGACTCTTAAACACGGCAGGAACTAGAGAAGGGCAACTCTTTCCCATTTTAACTTGCACAGCTATTTGGAGACCCTCTCAAAAGGATCACAAACTTAAAAATGAACCATTTCATTCCTGTCCTTTAGGCAAGAGAAGACCAGAAAATCATAATGTATTTTAGCTTTATTGAAGACATATTACAGTAGACAAACAAGTAGACAAACACATGCTTTATAAAATATACATTCTCATGTGTGAGAAAATATAAATAGACACTAGGAAATGGCCACACTGAACACAACAACTTGGCTTATAACTCTCTTTAGGTACATCTAGTACCAGGGCTGCTCAGACTGACATCCTCTGATAGGGGTAAAAGGGAGAACAGGGGGAAAGTAGAGGGTAGAAGTAGTCTCTCAATGGATCAAGTGGCCACTTTAAGTAGCCAAAAGATATTCCAAGAGCACTTGAGCCCCCAATGATCAATTTCTCTTTAAAGACAGAGTTGACAAAAGATCAGTCTACTCCTTACATTTGAAAACAGGCTCAAATCAAGCTTTTTATTCACCTTCACCCCACCTATTGGTGGAGATTATTAGGATTGCTAAGAAACAAACACACAACCTTGAAGGAGCAGGTCCAAATATTACTCCTCACCCACGCATGCACGCACACACACACACCCCTACCCCTTACTACCCACAAAACCTCCAGATGATTTGTGGGCTTTCAGGTGTTGTTTTAAGAGAAGCTTATAACATATCCCAATTCAGAACATGTTATTTTTGTCAACAAATGAGGAGGAAGCGGGGAAGGAAGGAAGAAAATTAAGGCTAACTGATGTTGGCTTAGATTGTACTCCAAACAAAAATGTTTTAAATTAGAAGAAAGAGGGAAAAACATCTGCCACAGTGAACTGGGAAAGAGACCACGTAAGAGAAAAATGAATCATTACTTACAGGTTGCCTAAAAATCTTAGCTCAACTTTCTAAGGTCCAACTGTTTCACAATTACTTCAGTAATCTGCATCAAGAAGCAAAGTAAGAAATGGAGGCTGTAGCATAAAATGACAGCCAGTTTACCTCGGATACTCCATTACCCATTTGGCATTTCTGTGGATATTAAAATGATAAGAAGATGCCATAACACACGCGGGTAAAATACTGGGTACAAACTTGAACATCACAATTCCAACCCCATTCCAAATGGAGTCCCACTGATACAAAGAAACAGGAATAAAAATTAAAGAGTAAAAGGGAAGGTTATAATACATTATAGGCTTTAAAAGTTTTCACTATGGTCATACCATTTGGGTTAGGAACCCTATAGATTTTCTCAGAAGAATAAGCCCAGAGTTTCATGTTTTCAGCCATTAACACAAAACTGGCTCCTTTTGTCAATCAAAGAACATAATCTTTTAGTTTAAAAAAAAAATCTTTTTAAGTGTTCCACACTTACTGTATATAAAGAATTCTGAAAGACAAAGTTTTAAGCCTGTCTTGCTTCTGAAGATTTCCAATGATAAAACTGAAAGAGAGCTAAAAGCCATCTTGCCCATATTTGATTTCAATGCAGAAATTTCTTCAATGCTATTAACAGATGATTATTTAGCTTCTGTATATACTTTTTCCATGAAAGGCTGATTATTCCAATTGTCAGACAAATCTAATTGTTAGAGTGTTAGCTTATATAGAATTATTGGCACGTGTGTACTACATCTCCCTGTAACTTCTTCCCCACTGATATGACCCCTGTCCGCTGGAATAAAAAGAGTGAATCTAATCTTTGTTTCATATGACAACCCTTTAAGTAACTAAAGACTTTTATCATCTCTCCCTTTTCTTAGGAAAATGGATAATAGAGTCTAAGCTGCTTAACATCTTAATGTTTCTTTTACAACCTGCCAATGGGCAATGTGAAGGCAACTGTTTTTAAACATGAAAGTTACCTTACAGAGAAAATACACATTTAAAGCATTCTAAGAGGGCACATTAGAGGGAATGGCACACTGGGCTGGGTTTCTGGTATTTCCTATCCTACAGATTAACTTACATCTAGGGAAAGCACTTGAGAGGCTACTGAGTGACAGGCAGCCAACGGGTCAGGCATAGACTCTGTGGCAGGAAGACTTGGAGTACAAGCACAATGTTACTTCTTCTTCCAGGTATACTTACAGAATCAGTCTAAGAGGGGCACAAACAAATTAAGAGAATTTATGTATCCCTACTGATATGAAGTCGTAATAGGGACAATATTTCTCTCAGCATTTTAGTTTGCCTTGCTTTTGCAACATTTTTGATTAAACTGGTGGCAGGCAGACATTACACTGATGGGAAGAAACACAGATGAGCCACTAATCCAGTTTATAGTAGAGCATTTGCTATATGCTCTACATATGCAATACTGAAAAATTTCAGGAATTCCAACTCCTAAGATTAGAATTTATGAAATTTACTATTTTTTAAGACCAGGGATAGGCTATTCACATTTAAACAAATTCCTGACTAGTTTTTCAGGCAAGTTTTTTAGTTATTTAGGAAAGCTAGCAATACCTGGGAGGACATCTCAACCATTCGAGTTGACAGAGAACCTGGCTATTCGGGAGACCAGCCTGACACCACTGGCAGTAGAAAGACCACTGCTAAAGCAGAGGCAGCAATCATGTATTTTAAGTTTTCTAGAGCACTGGTTTGCAGCCTGGTTTTTGTCCTCTCACATGTAACAGCTGATGCTCACTTGCAGCCTTGTTCTAACTCCACTTTTTTCACTAAATAAAGTCCATCAGAATGTCAGAGTACTATAATTAGAGAGATGACCTTGAATACATTAGAAAGGTGAGTCACAAACTAGTTACAAATTAGTTGTGGCACACCTCTCAACTGATTCTGATACTCTGGTGTATTGTAATACTAGCATTCAGACCTGGTGTTCTGGAGGGCAATGGGTGGTTCTCAATCTACTCAAGATTCTTTATGTTTACTGACACTGTTTTAGAAGCTGAATATTTCTTCTCTTTATGAGGATTTCTTATAGCATTACTCCTGCTAGAGAGGAAATAAATCTGGCTCAAGTCAGAGTAAGCAGCATCACTCCTGTTCTACTCTAAAAAATATTTCATGAAAGCAGCTTTTTATTAGAGTAGATAATCCTCCTTGATTCCAGGAGGGATCACAGATTCACAGAATGTTACAGCTGGAAAGGGCTTTAAAGCATCTAGTAAAATGCCCTCATTTCATAAATGACAAAGTCAGGCTGAGATGTAAAGGGACTTGCCCTTGATTACACAACTAGTAAGCAGCAGAGCTAGGAACTAAATCAGGTTTCGTGATTCTAAGTCAGTCCAGTAAAAATTATACTACAACCTAGTAAAGTAAGAAGATGGATCAGAAATTGAAGGGAGAAGAAAATAGTGATACTTAAGGAGTTCAAAGTGAAAATGAAGAGAGGCTGACAATTTAAAAAGGAAAAAGACAAATGCATGATGGCATAAAACAGCTAGAAAAGTGCTGCTGCCTATGGGAGAAAAATTTAGGATTGAAAAACAGTATGAAATTCAGCTAAACTTCCTGGCAAAGAGCTGAGAAATTATGTGAGTTTAAAATCCTTGAAATGCACAATGACTTAGAAATAGATTATTTTCATTTAAGTGGTTGAAGTCATCTAGTATGTAACTAGTCCTCACTAAATTTAGAGGATAGAATCCAACAGCCTTTCTTTTTTTTCTGAAAGCAGAAAGAAAGAAGAGCTTTAGTCCATTACACTTTATTAGAGCACTAAGTCTTTTGTTTACATAAAATTTTTTGCTATCAGAAATTCAAGAAAACTTTTTGGCTTAAATAATCACTTGTACAGGGCTTCCCTGATGGCACAGTGGTTGAGAGTCCGCCTGCTAATGCAGCGGACACAGGTTCGTGCCCCAGTCTGGGAAGGTCCCACATGCCGCAGAGCGGCTGGGCCCGTGGGCCATGGCTGCTGAGCCTGTGCATCCGGAGCCTGTGCTCCGCAGCGGGAGAGGACACAACAGTTGAGAGGCACGTGTACCGCAAAAAAAAAAAAAAAAATCACTTGTACAAAACAAGGACCACTCTAAAGCTTTACAGTATAAGAATTTCTGCACGTTCTTCTACTCCCAAAAGCAGTCTTCCCTTCTTAAGACATACTGTGCATTGGTAGAAGAGATATTATTTTAAAAAACAAACACACACACACACAGAAAAAAAAGCAATCTTTGGTTTCCTCATCAACTAAGTACTTTGCTGAAGGAAGATATTCCCCAAACAAGTTTTCCTTTATCTATGCGCATATGACAATGACAAGACTGCTAGTCGTTTGAAAAAGCCTTTTTATGCTTGAAAGATTATATTACCTGGCACTTGTAAACAGATGACAAATGATTAGCTGTACAAATCTTTAGGCATAAAGAAAGTGGTTAATTACACCAAGATGGTGTTTGTGTGTACGCAATTACTAGGTACCCTGCTTCTATACTTATACTTCTTAACAAATACGTATTTAAAACTTTAAACAAAGTCTTTGGATTCACTAAACCAAGTTGTACAAAATCTGTGGTCTGAGAAGCAGCTGTCAATATTATAACTGAATATTATATATAATTTTGGCATATCAAAAATATTTACATTGCAACACATATGACCAATGAATACGAAAATTATTTATAAATGCACATATATATACAGTGAGATCCCTGGGCGACAGGGACCATAAAAAAAAAAAAAAGAGAGAGAGAGAAAGAGAGAGATTCACAAGAATACAAAACGCTTGACCTAGTAATAGTTGGTCAAGTCTGGGATTCTTGTCGAAGACCTTGAATATCAAAGCCCCACTCTCAACTATAGGATTAAAACCACTGCAGAATCCCAGGCACACTTCCCAGGGGGCTCCAAAGTTATTTTTGTTCCTTGGAAGGCAAAATAGAACAGTGTTGTTTACTCAGGATCATTCGGTAGGTTGAGACAATCCAGGGTGTTAAGCAGCAATGAGACTCTCCCTAACAGGCAATGAGCACCTGGGCACATCCCAGTAGAACCATAAGACAGCACTCTGTCCTCTATCTTCCTCCACCTGTGTTGCACATTTTCTATTAGATGTACCCATTTCTGTCAGCCATTACCCTTTCTTCGTCAAGTATAAGCCCAAACAAATGTCTGGGCCCCCTTGATGTGGTCAGATGTAATTGTAGACAAAGAGCAAAGCAAATGCTGACTTTGGGGTTTCTTCCGAACTCTGAGGTAGTAAATACAAAATCAACTAATTTGAGTCTGCCCAGATTTCATTCTGGAGTGAGTTTCATGTGCCCTCACTGCCATCTTGAATGTTCCGAGTCCTACTAAAATCAAAAGTGTGGTCGTGTAACCTGTGACAGGGCATGGGGGAAGTGGAACAGTCTGGATCACTCTCTGCCAGGCCCTCGTTTTGATGGAGTTGTGGTGACTCAAAGACTGACTGCTGCGATAAAGGAGGATGAGGCATACCTGGTTCTTTGCTTATGTTCCACAGAGGCCGCTGCAAGGGTTCTGAGAACGAGAGACAGTAATAATTATCAGTGGTGAATGGAAGTATAAAATTAATTTTCTAAAACTTAATTTTCTTCTACCCAAGTCTTCAAAGAAATAATAAGAAATAACCCAGTATTCCTGAATAAGGACGTTAAGATAAAATGTATACTTGCCATTTTCTTAGCAAAAACAAAAAAAAAGAAAACAAAACAAAAACTGAAACCATGGTCTTTCAAACACTTCTACTCAACAACTTTACCAATTAATTACTGAAACCATGCTGTGCCATCTGCTTTCACCTATTACTGGTGTTTCTACTGCTATAAAACTTAAAACTCTTTAGACACATGGAAGCAGACTAAAAGAGAATTAGTATCCATATAGTAATGAAAGTTGCACAATACATAAGTAAAAATTATTGATTCAGTGCAGTCATTGTATCTTTAAATAACAATTAAATGCTTATCTTAAAAAAAATCATTTTGGGCTTCCCTGGTGGCGCAGTGGTTAAGAATCCGCCTGCCAATGAGGGGACATGGGTTTGAGCCCTGGTCCAGGAAGATCCCACATGCCGCGGAGCAACTAAGCCCACGCGCCACAACTACGGAGCCTGCACTCTAGAGCCCACGTGCCACAACTACCGAAGCCCGCATACCTAGAGCCCGTGCTCTGCAACGAGAGAAGCCACCGCAATGAGAAGCCGGCACAACACAACAAAGAGTGGCCCCTGCTCGCCGCAACTAGAGAAAGCCTGAGAGCAGCAACAAAGACCCAACGCAGCCAAAAATAAAATACATACAATAAATACATTTATTTTAAAAAATCATTTTAAAAATAAACAACCATTCCCCTCCAGCTTCTAGCAAGCCAATAACTCTAACAACAAAATAATAACCAAAAGCTGGTATTTTAAATCAGGTTATCTATACTTTGGCTTCAAAAATATGCATTTCTCATTATTATTTACTGCAGTGGTGGGCTCTTTCCCCAGAGAACATTTACTGAAAGTTATACTAACTTCATGGGGATGTATTTTGGAAAAAGCTAGCCAAACATTCTAGAAACAAACACTCAGAAATAAAAATAAAACCCATGTGCAAAGTAAGCTAGAGCAGGGTTTCTCAAGCTTTAACATTCATACAAATAACCTGGAGACTGTGTTAAAATATAGACTCTGGTTCACTAGGTCTGGGGTGGGACCCATGCTCTGCATTTCTAACAAGCTCCTAGGTAATGCTGATGCTGACAGACCACACTTTGAGTAGCAAGGAGCTAGAGCATCCTAGCTAAGGAACAAGCAATGCACCGAAGCACTCTCATTTGCTGATTTCCTCACTTACAGACCAGATTAACAATTAAGACATCCCTAAAGTTGGGGAAAGATACTGCATTTTTAGTTCTACTTAAAGTTATTCTGTGCGTGTATATCTCTTCTAGGACATGGGGAAATGGATTTAGTGTTTGTGCCTTTCTTTCATGGACACAGAATTTTAAAGACAAGAGACTAACTTCAATAACAGGATATTTTTCTCTGACCTGTACCCTCTTTAGAAAACTTTAGAGGTGGTCTCTTAACTAAGAACAACAGAGCACATCGTAAAAGTCCATGTCATTTCATTCACTCCAGCCAGAACCATCCCTGGAAGCACCACTATACAATGTCTTCCACTGTAAACCTGCGGTGCAAAGCCCCACCCTATTTCCAGTGCTCTTTCATTTCAGGCGGACAGGAGGGTGACAGTGGATAAAAAGCCTGGATGGACAGGAAGACATGCTCAGTAGTGCCCTTCATGGTCTAGAAAGAGTTTTGTTTTGTTTTGCTTTGCTTTATTGACTGGGTTGTTTCAAATGCCTTGTCGGCACAATATAACATGTGTTTCTTTTCCTGGGCTACTATCCCCAAACTGCTTTCCCAGTTATGGCCCTGACTGTAATACTTCACAGATGAAAGCAAATACCTGCCAAGTGATACTGACATTCAACATTTACCTGATAGAACAGCAACCAAATAAAACATTTTTAAATCTTCTCAGTGAAAATCTTCATCAAATTATGCCCAAATCATTATATCCTTAGCATTTCAAGTCTCCATTATTTAAATAAACATGGAAGAAAAAAGTAGTGCCTGTATGAAACGTCTTTATAGAAACTTTTTCTACATGGCTTCCGAATCTTTAGAAGTAAGATCTTGTTACTCCCACAAAAGCTGTTTTCATCCTACAGATCCAGACTTCTTTCTAAATCTAATCTCTAAAAATCTTTGGCTCTAGTTTATGTCAATTAATAGTAGCTAATTACTCCATTATACCAACTTGTTTGCTTCTGTCAAATGAGAGTGCTACCTATATGACAGAAGGAAAACTCAAGTAGGTGAAAGTGAAAACAAACCAAAATAACAAACAACACTGTGCCCTTTACCACTGTTCTTCTGTGTGGAGGAAAGTTTCTTCTCATTTATCCTCTCATGGTTGGTGGGAAAGGCAGACATCTCTCTATCTGCTGCTGATACCAGGCTCTCCAGGGTGGTGGCATCTTGGGGAAGATGTGCCAAATAAGTCTCTTTGGGCATCTGGACCATAAGGCTGGACAGTGTCTGATCTAGAACATCCTCTTCAGCAATATAGGTGTATGGACAGTATTCTCGGGTCCGGGAGTAGATGTTAGCATTGTCATAACAATCTGAGCAGATAACCCGGGTGCCAGTGCCACCTAATGACAACACAGGAAAGAATCCAAACATCCTTCAGTTAAGGAATCAGTTTTGCCAACTATTAGTTTTCTCTAACAGTTGTCATCATATCTGCATTTGTTCAAAACTTGCATTATAAACCAGATGAAGTTTCAAGGTCTTTCTGTGAACTAACTAATTTAATCCTTATAACATCCCTAAGAGGTAAGTATTATTATTATCCCTATTTTACAGACAGAGTAACTACAACACAGAGAGGTCAGGTAAGGCCCAAAGACATACTGCCTGAGTGAAGAGCTGCAATTTAAACTCAGGCCCTCTGGCTCTAGCATCCATGCTCTTGAGTAGTACATTAAGCCATCTTTGACAAGCCTGGATAAGGTCATGCGCAAATCAAGGGAGCCAAGATAAGGCTGGCACTGTGCTACAAGACACATGTTTGGCTTAAGCAAACTAAAGCAGAGAACAAGGGGTTTTGATGACTTTATTTCACAAAAGCCCACATAACTTTTGTTAAGTCAAGAGGTTAAGCAACACTAATTGCTAAAAGGACCCCAAGAGAAAGCCTCTGACGGTGAAGAGTCCTGCCTGACAAGTGTGTGTTTGGCAGAAGTAAAAGTTTAATAATGAGCTCCCTGGACAATTAAGTGCTTTGAAAACTGAATGATAAAAAAAGAGGAAAGTGAGAAATAGAGACTCACTTATTCATGTTCAAGCAACAGAATGTTAGAACTGGAAAAGAACAGGAAGTAATTAAGTTTAACCCAGAAAGCAGTGTTATTTCCTACAAATTTCAAAAAGTAGAGGCTTTTAAGTATTCTTTAAAAAGCTAGAGGGGGACTTCCCTGGTGGCACAGTGGTTAAGAATCTGCCTGCCAATGCAGGGGACACGGGTTCGAGCCCTGGTCTGGGAAGATCCCACATGCTGCGGAGCAACTAAGCCCGTGTGCCACAACTACTGAGCCTGCGCTCTAGAGCTCATGTGCCACAACTACTGAGCCCGCATACCACAACTAATGAAGTCTGTGCGCCTAGGGGCCATCCTGGGCCAGGGAAGGTCTCACAAGCCACACAGTATAGCCAAAAAGAAAAAAAAAAAAAAAAAAAGCTAGAAATACCCTCCTTTCCATGGAAAGCCAAAATAATGGAATAGAGCTTCCATGTGTATACTACTTGAAGTACTACACAGATTTGTGGAAAGAATATTTAAGAATCATGAGAGAAATGCTTTATAAAATATTGTTTCTTTATTTTTAAAATGAGGAGATTAAAGCTCAGCTTTTAGGTAACTTGTTGGTGACCACAAGGCTGGAAAGAGGAACTGGGAGTCAAACCGAATTCTACCCTTTAATTCACTTCCCTGTGTTCTGTCACTCCCTATGGGAAGAGTGGAGTCGGGAAAAGTAGTGTTGAGAAGTCAGGTTCACTTAACTATTTTATATCTCTCTGATGTTCTCCAATATAAGATGAGAATCATCAATGCCCTTTAAACCTTAGTGAATGTCTACCTGTCAGCAGGAGATACAACCTCCCTGGGATATGGTCTGAAGGGTGCTCATGCCTGAAAAGGATAAAAGACACCTGAAGAAAGTTTCTAGAGCATCTCCTTCCTACGACAATACTTTGGTTTGGGAGCCTCTGCTGTGTTCTCCAATCCCTTGTTTAAGGATGTGTTTTACTCCTTTCTGTCAGAAGATTTTCTCCTCTGTTAAGACTTTAGAGCCTGAACCAAGATGGCAGAGTACAAGGACGTGCTCTCACTCCCTCTTGCGAGAACACCAGAATCACAACTAACTGTTGAACAATCATCGACAGGAAGACACTGGAACTCACCAAAAAAGATACCCGACATCCAAAGACAAAGGAGAAGCCACAATGAGACAGTAGGAGGGGTGCAATCACAATAAAATCAAATCCCATAAGGCTGGGTAGGTGACTCACAAATTGGAGAACACTTATACCGCTGAAGTCCACCACTGGAGTGAAGGTTCTGAGCCCCAGGTCAGGCTTCTGAAACTGGGGGTCCAGCAACGGGAGGAGGAATTCCTAGAGAAACAGACTTCGAGGGCTAGCGGGATTTGACTGCAGGACTCTGACAGGACTGGGGGAAATAAGAGACTCCACTCTTGGAGGGCACACATAAGTACTGTGCGTATCAGGACGCAGGGGAAGGAGCACTGACCCCAGGGAGACTGAACCAGAGCTACCTGCTAGTGTTGGAGGTTCTCCTGCAGAGGCGGGGGGCAGCTGTGGCTCACCAAGGGACAAGGACACTGGCAGCAGAAGTTCTGGGAAGCACTCCTTGGCGTGAGCCCCCCACCCTCCCAGAGTCCGCTATCAGCCCCACCAAAGAGCCTGCAGGTTCCAGTGTTGGGTCGCCTCAGGCCAAACAACCAACAGGGAGGGAACCCAGCCCCACCCATCAGCACTCTAGCGGATTAAAGTTTTACTGAGCTCTGCCCACCAGAGCAACAGCCAGCTTTACCCACCACCAGTCCCTCCCATCAGTAAAACTTGCACAAGCCTCTTAGATGGCCTCATCCACCAGAGGACAGACAGCAGAAGCAAGAACAACTACAATCCTGCAGCCTGTGGAAGAAAAACCACATTCACAGCAAGATAGACAAGATGAAAAGGCAGAGGGCTATGGACCAGATCAAAGAACAAGATAAAACCCCAGAAAAACAACGAAATGAAGTGGAGATAGGCAACCTTCCAGAAAAAGAATTCAGAATAATGATAGTAAACATGATCCAGGACCTGGAAAAAGAATGGAGGCAAAGATCGAGAAGATGCAAGAAATGTTTAACAAAGACCTAGAAGAATTAAAGAACAAACAAACAGAGATGAACAATACAATAACTGAAATGAAAAATATACTAGAAGGAATCTTGGGTCACAAATCAAGCCTCAGTAAATTTAAGACAACTGAAATCATATCAAGCATCTTTTCTGATCACAACACTATGAGATTAGAAATCAATTACAGGGGAAAAAAACGTAAAAAACACAAACACATGGAGGCTAAACAATACGTTACTAAATTACCAAGAGATCACTGAAGAAATCAAAGAGGAAATCAAAAAATACCTAGAGACAAATGACAATGAAAACACGACGATGCAAAACCTATGGGATGCAGCAAAAGCAGTTCTAAGAGGGAAGTTTACAGCAATACAAGCCTACCTCAAGAAACAAGCAAAATCTCAAACGATCTAATGTTACACCTAAGGGAACTAGAGAAAGAAGAACAAACAAAACCCAAAGTTAGCAGAAGGAATGAAATCATAAATATCAGAGCAGAAATAAATGAAATAGAAACAAAAAAACAACAGCAAAGATCAATAACACTAAAAGCTGGTTCTTTGAGAAGATAAACAAAATTGATAAACCATTAGCCAGACACATCAAGAAAAAAAAGGAGAGGACTCAAATCAATAAAACAAAAAAGGAGAAGTTACGACACTGCAGAAACACAAAGCATCCTAAGAGACTACTATAAGCAACTCTATGCCAATAAAATCGACAACCTGGAAGAAATGGACAAATTATTAGAAAGGTATAACCTTCCAAGACTGACCCAGGCAGAAATAGAAAATATGAACAGACCAATCACAAGTAATGAAATCGAAACTGTGATTAAAACCTTCCAACAAACAAAAGTCCAGGACCAGATGGTTTCACAGGTGAATTCTATCAAACGTTTAGAGAAGAGCTAACACCCATCCTTCTCAAACTCTTCCAAAATACTGCAGAGGAAGGAAAACTCCCAAACTCATTCTATGAGGCTACCATCACCCTGATACCAAAACCAGACAAAGATACTACAAAAAAAGAAAGTTACAGACCAATATCACTGATGAATATAGATGCAAAAATCCTCAACAAAATACTAGCAAACAGAATCCAACAACACATTAAAAGGATCATATACCATGATCAAGTGGGATTTATCCCAGGGATGCAAGGATTCTTCAGTATATGCAAATCAATCAATGTGATACACCATATTAACAAGTTGAAGAATAAAAACCATATGATCATCTCAGTAGATGCAAAAAAGCTTTTGACAAAATTCAACACCCATTATGATAAAAAACCTCCAGAAAGTGGGCATAGAGGGAACCCACCTCAACATAATAAAGGCCATACATGACAAACCCACAGCAAACATCATTCTCAATGGTGAAAAACTGAAAGCATTTCCTCTAAGATCAGGAACAAGAGAAGGATGTCCACTCTCACCACTCTTATTCAACATAGTTTTGGAAGTCCTAGCCACGGCAATCAGAGAAGAAAAAGAAATAAAAGGAATACAAATTGGAAAAGAAGAAGTAAAACTGTCACTGTTTGCAGATGACATGACACTATACATAGAGAAACCTAAAGATGCCACCAGAAAACTACTAGAGCTAATCAATGAATTTGGTAAAGCTGTAGGATACAAAATTAACGCACAGAAATCTCTTGCATTCCTATACACTAATGATGAAAAATCTGAAAGAGAAATTAAGGAAACACTCCCGATTTACCACTGCAACAAAAAGAATAAAATACCTAGGAATAAACCTACCTAGGGAGACAGAAGACCTGTATGCAGAAAACTATAAGACACTGATGAAAGAAATTAAAGATGATACCAACAGATGGAGAGATATACCATGTTCTTGGATTGGAAGAATCAAAATTGTGAAAATGACTATACTACCCAAAGCAATCTACAGATTCAATGCAATCCCTATCAAATTACCAATGGCATTTTTTACAGAACTAGAACAAAAAATCTTAAAATTTGTATGGAGACAGAAAAGACCCCGAATAGCCAAAGCAGTCTTGAAGGAAAAAAGCAGAGCTGGAGGAATCAGACTCCCTGACTTCAGACTATACTACAAAGCTACAGTAATCAAGACAATATGGTACTGGCACAAAAACAGAAATATAGATCAATGGAACAAGATAGAAAGCCCAGAGATAAACCCACGCACCAATGGTCAGCTAATCTATGACAATGGAGGCAAGGATATATAATGGAGAAAAGACAGTCTCTTCAATAAGTGGTGCTGGGAAAACTGGACAGCTACATGTAAAAGAATGAAATTAGAACACTCCCTAACACCATACACAAAAATAAACTCAAAATGGATTAGAGACCTAAATGTAAGACCAGACACTATAAAACTCTTAGAGGAAAATATAGGAAGGACACTCTTTGACATAAATCACAGCAAGATCTTTTTTGATCCACCTCCTAGAGTAATGGAAATAAAAACAAAAATAAACAAATGGGACCTAATGAAACTTCAAAGCTGTTGCACAGCAAAGGAAACCATAAACAAGACGAAAAGACAACCTTCAGAATGGGAGAAAATATTTGCAAATGAATCAATGGACAAAGGATTAATCTCCAAAATACATAAACAGCTCATGCAGCTCAATATTAAAAAAAACAACCCTATCCAAAAATAGGCAGAAGATTTAAATTGACATTTCTCTAAAGAAGACATACAGATGGCCAAGAAGCACATGAAAAGCTGCTCAACATCACTAATTATTAGAGAAATGCAAATCAAAACTACAATGAGGTATCATCTCACACCAGTTAGAATGGGCATTATCAGAAAATCTACAAACAACAAATGGTGGAGAGGGTGTGGAGAGAAGGGAACCCTCTTGCACTGTTGGTGGGAATGTAAATTGATACAACCACTATGGAGAACAGTATGGAGGTCCTTAAAAAACTAAAAATAGAATTACCATATGATCCAGCAATCCCACTACTGGGCATATACCCAGAGAAAACCATAATTCAAAAAGATACATGCACCCCTACGTTCACTGCAGCACTATTTACAATAGTCAGGTCATGGAAGCAACCTAAATGCCCATCGACAGATGAATGGATAAAGAAGATATGGTACATATATACAATGGAATATTACTCGGCCATAAAAAGGAACGAAATTGGGTCATTTGTTGAGATGTGGATGGATCCAGAGACTGTCATATAGAGTGAAGTAAGTCAGAAATAGAAAAACAAATATCGTATATTAACGCATATATGTGGAACCTAGAAAAATGGTACAGATGAACTGGTTTTCAGGGCAGAAATTGAGACAGATGTAGAGAACAAATGTATGGACACCAAGGGGGGAAAGCGGTGGGGGATGGTGGTGGTGGTGTGATGAATTGGGAGATTGGGATTGACATGTATACACTGATGTGTATAAAACTGATGACTAATAAGAACCTGCTGCATAAAAATATAAATAAAATTCAAAAACTCAAAAAAAAAGACTTTAGTCAATTTTCATCCTATTTTGCATGGGGCAAATGTTTTCATTGAGTAGCTTACTTTAAAATATTGCTTCAGATTACTGTGGAAAACTATACACTTAAAAAAAAACTAAACAGGGTAGGCTGAAATTGTAAGCACAGATAATAAAAAGTCATTACCATCAGCGCCTTTGTGTAAATGTCCATTGGCAGGAGGCATAAGTTGCTGATGACTACCTGCCTCAGAGTTGCTGTAGCCTTCCTGTGGCTCAGACAGTGTTCCTTGGGAAGACAAGTAGCTGGGAATGTCTGCAGGCAGATTGAGCTCGTCTGTAAAAGAGACATCTGTAACTCTCAAATAAAGTTAGGCAATTTAAGCCAAAACTCAGAAGACTATCTTGCAAATGTATTCTACTTTGGTACTAATGGCCAGGAAAATGTTATGTACCTAGGAACTCAACAACTCCTAGAATTCTCTCTGAAAATTATTTCTCACTAGAATTCTCCCCCAAGCTTCATTTTAAAAGTATTACCAAAAGAAAAAAAACCTGAAGTGTGAAATCTTATCCACAGACACACTTTAGCAATCTATCTGGCTGTACCTCTTCTCTTACAGGATTTCAGGGTGGGGGACAGGTGTGAAAGACTGATCTCTGTCATAACGACTCCACTCTTCCCCAAAGGAAAATTACAATGGAAATGAGCCTTAGGTATTAAAGAAAGAAGGTGCACATGCAACTGTTTAAAAGAACAAAGTTTTGGGGGACTGTCTACAAATTCTTAAGCTTATTCACTAGAGCGGTTCCATTATATCAAGAAAGTAGGACATTTTAACAGAAAAACTCTTCCTTCTATCACAAATAAATTATCAAAGCTCCTTAGTTTTTTATATTTAACAACAAATCCTACACTACATTCCTGACTCAGGTATAAGCCACAAGGGTCAACCGGGTACCACTCACCTGTGTTCGTGATACTATAGTCTTCATTTTTCCTTCTCATGTGGTAAATAACAATGACCCAGATCAAAGAGGTACCCACAACACAGCAGACCACAACAATGATGACAATGCCAACTGTGGTCCACCCATCATCTTCATGCCCAATGCTACTCTGGGAAGAGTCACAATTGGGGGTGGAAATCACATTTAGGTAAATGTGACCACGTTCTGTCCCAAGGGTGTTGGACATAATGCAGGTATATTTCCCAGCATCTTCTAGCCCAGCATCTACAATGATGAGAAGTTGGTTGGCTGCAGCGAAGAAGTGCCGTTCTGTCACCAGCAGTGGTCCATCATCTTTGGTCCAGTTGAGGCGAGGGGCAGGACTCCCTCCAGCTATGCACTGTAATACTGCAGTTTCACCTCGGGTTACTGTCTTGTCCTCCAGAGGTCTAATAAATGAGGGTGTCTCTAACAGAAAGATGCATTAAAAAATATTAGGCAGTTTTATTCCTAATTGAATTAGACTAATTAGGTTACGATGAAATAAGCACTTTCATATGCTCATGGGAGGATTAGAAGTTAATGTTTCAGAAAAGCAAAAGCCTCAAAAAATCTAAATCTCATCTCAGGAATTACACCTTGAGCAAGCTATCCTAAGCAAAGAATTCAAAGATCTATATACAAAAATGCTTATTACAAAATTAGTTGTAATTTTTAAAGGTAAAGGGGAAAATCTAAAAATCTAGCAGAAACATGAGTAAGTAAATTATACCACAGCCACATGATATTCATGAAGACTTAATGACAAGGTAACCCTGTGATACAATATTAAGTGGAAAGGGCTTCCCTAGTGGCGCAGCGGTTGAGAATCTGCCTGCCAATGCAGGGGACACGGGTTCGAGCCCGGGTCTGGGAGGATCCCACATGCCATGGAGCAACTAGGCCTGTGAGCCACAACTACTGAGCCTGCGCATCTGGAGCCTGTGCTCCGCAACGAGAGAGGCCACGACAGTGAGAGGCCCGCGCACCGCGATGAAGAGTGGCCCCCACTTGCCACAGCTAGAGAAAGCCCTCGCACAGAAACGAAGACCCAACACAGCAAATATAAATTAATTAATAAACTCCTACCCCCAACATCTTCTTTTTAAAAAAAAAAAAAAAATATTAAGTGGAAAAAAGTAGGTATACATAACCACATAAGGATGGGTGTTTTATTTTTCTTTTTTAGATTTTTTTTTTTTTTGGGATGTGGACCATTTTTAAAGTCTTTATTGAGTTTGTTACAATATTGCTTCTGTTTTATGTTTTGGTTTTTTGGCCGTGAGGCATGTGGGATCTTAGCTCCCCAACCAGGGATCAAACCTGCACCCCCTGCATTGGAAGGTGAAGCTTTTGTTTTGTTTATAAGTAGTTCTTTCATTGATCTTTTAAATTCTTTAAATTTATTTATTTATTTTTGGCTGCACTGGGTCTTCATTGCTGCGTGCGGGCTTTCTCTAGTTGCAGTGAGCAGGGGCTACTCTTTGTTGTGGTGTGTGGGCTTCTCATTGCGGTGGCTTCTTGCTGCAGAGCACGGGCTCTAGGTGCACGGGCTTCAGTAGCTGTGGCTCACGGGCTCTAGAGCGCAAGCTCAGTAGTTGTGGCACGTGGGCTTAGTTGCTCTACAGCATGTGGGATCTTCCCAGACCAGGGCTCGAACCCATGTTCTCTGCATTGGCAAGTGGATTCTTAACCACTGCGCCACCAGGGAAGTCCCAGAAGGCCAAGTCTTAACCACTGGTCTGCCAGGGAAGTCCCAAGATGAGTTTTGTGGGATTTTTTAAAGATTTATTATTTATTTATTTATTTAATTTATTTTTGGCTGTGTCGGGTCTTAGTTGTGGCATGCGGGATCTTCACTGAGGCATGCGGGATCTTTCCTTGCAGCACACGCGTGGGCTTCTCTCTAGTTGTGGCATGTGGGTTTTCTCTTCTCTACTTGTGGTGCACAGGCTCCAGGGCGTGCGGGCTCTATAGTTGTGGCACGTGGGTTCCAGAGCATGGGCTCTGTAGTTTGCGGCAGGCAGGCTCTCTAGTTGAGGCGTGAGCTCAGTAGTTGTGGTGCGCGGGCTTAGTTGCCCTGAGGGATGTGGGCTCTTAGTTCCCTGACCAGGGATTGAACCCACATCCCCTGCATTGTAAGGCGGACTCTTCAGCACTGAACCACCAGGGAAGTCCCAAGATGAGTGTTTTAAAACTCCAGAATATGTCAAAATCTTTAACGGTGTCTGAGTGACCTTCCCTCTTTTTTTCTAATTTTCTACATATCTTAAATTTTTTAAACAATAAACTTATTTTTCTGATTACACAAGTAATTACACAAACCAACACATTTTTAAAAACCCTAACATCTAGAGGAAAAGAGAATTTACCTTGAATTTGAGTCCCATGAAGAAAAGTGTTTTCCAAATGTATGGACACCAAAGGGGGAAGAGGGTGGGGGGTGGGATGAATTGGGAGACTGGGATTGACATATATACACTAATATGTATAAAACAGATAACTAATGAGAACCTGCTGTATAGCACAGGGAACTCTACTTCACTTTGCTGTACAGCAGAAACTAACACAACACTGTAAAACAACTATATCCCAATTTAAAAAGAAAAGAAAAGTGTTCTCATAAGAAAACAAACTGGCTTATCAGGGGAAATCTATGAGGAAAAGACATTTTACCAGAGGATAGGATTAACAGGAGCACACTGGAAGGAAAACAGGAAATCTAACCAGAAGACAGATCATTTTTTTCATCTTATAATTTTTTTTAAAAAAATGAACTGGGGGGAAAGTTACATTGTCTCAAGTTCTCTGTGAAGCAGGTATGTGAGGCAGTATAAAAGTGCAAACTCACTATTGAATAGTAGAAAAAACATATACATGAAGTAGAAAACTTACAGAGGGAAACATAACAGGACAAAGGGATTTGAATATTCAATTCATGGGATAAAAATCTCTAATTCTGCCCTCAGAATTTCGCCAGATTTCAGTTTACTGATCCACTAATATCCTAGGCTGACATAACCCTGCATAAATTGGCAGAGCAAGGAAACAAAGACATAAGAATCCCAACTAAAATCTCAAACATAGATTCTTCTTGCCATTAAGACCAAGAGTCAATCCATAATAAAAAGACTCCCACAAAAGCAGGGACCCACGGAGCAATAAACATACCTAACACGATTAATGAAGCATTTGCTGAGAGGCCGCCTGCTATGTTCTGTGCCATGCAGCTATAGATCCCCATGTCTTCTATTTTCACATTTGCAATGAAGAAGACATCATCCTCAGGCATGACATGCATGCGTCTCTCTCGAGCCGCAGGGAAGTCAGTACCACCATCTTTCTGCCAGGAAATCTGAGGTGCAGGGTGCCCCTCTGCAGCACATTCTAATCTGGCCATGGCACCAGTGCGAATAGTTAGATCCATTGGAGTTTTCAGAAAAGATGGCATCTCTGTTCCAAAAAAGATCACCAAGAGAAAGTGGGTGGGTGGGGGGAATATATATATATATATATATATATATATATATATATATATATATATAGACACACACACACACACACACACACACACACACACACATACATACATACACTCATACATACATACAAGGGAGACTCTATTAGGCAAAATACCAACTGTTGTAATGCTCCATTTCTTTGAGAAGACATGCTCCCTGCACTGACAATAAATACTACTTCAGAGGCCATCTTTTCTCCCAGAACCTCAGGGCATGGAGTACAGTGATGACTAACTCTTCTAGAATGTGTGGCAAATCTACCTGATCTCCTTGATAGGGACAGAAAAAGCAGAAGCCACAAACCTTTTTGAACATATATTTTAGAACCTAATATTTACTATGACTCCCTTACTTAAGAGACTAAATGGTGCTTCCCAAACAAACATCTACAAAGCTGTCAAGGAAACTGCATGATAAAAAAAATTTATGCCTTCAAACATCTCATAAAACAACCCAGGATCAAGACATATGTACATCTTTTGGTTGCACAAAGCCTGAAGTGTTGTAGTTATTCAGCCTAACAGGTGATAGATCAATCAAGCTGTTCTGTTTTTTTCTTTCACAGCCACGATGAAAAAGAGCATTATTTTCAAAAATGGTTTTGTGTGACTACATTTAGACAATGATAATGATCACTGGACCCAGAAATGTTCTCAATACTCCCAGTTATTGGATGGCCTGTGAACAATGTCAGGAATAAATTTCATAGTTTTTAGAACAGAATTATGGTTCTGGAAAGAAAATGGAGAATTAAAAAAAATTTTTTTTTTCAAAAGCATAAATAAAAGTGAAAGTAGCCCATCTCCTAGAGCCACAGAATTCACCTTTACCCCTCAGTCAAAGACTGATCAGGGACAGTAAGTGGGTAAATTAGCAATCCAGTCTGTATACTGTCATAACCCTAAAGACAAAAACAGTAAGGAATCCCCCTGCAATGTCAGGTTTATCCTAATTTTCTTGGTCAAAGATTCAAAAATCAAACATGAAAAATCCTTCTAACCACAAAACTATCAGGGAGCATAATTTCTTACCATTCACAGTCAGTTTGGCTTTATGAGAATAGTTAGAACCAAAGTGATTAGTAATAATACACTGATATTTTCCTTCATCTGTGAAATTTACATTGAAAAGATGTAAGACACTAGTGTATTCCAGAGCTTCTCCAGCTTGTTGCTGATAACGAACAAAATTCTCAATATCAGCATCATACAAGATTTCACTGTCTTTGCGCCACAAAGTAGACATGGGTGAATCACTGCTGCTCACTGCAGTGCATGTCAGAGTCACATTCATGCTTCTTAGAGCAACTGTGGTTTCAGGATGGGTTCTTATCTGCGGCTTGAGAAAATCATCTAAGGAGAAAAAAATGGGGCAGGAGCCAAGTCAGTTATTTATTTTTGCTTCTATAGATTCAATTCTAAAACAAATAATGTAAAATTGCATGTTATGTTTACAAAATGTCATGTTAAGGTTGAAAGGGACTATAGAGCTAGAATCCAATTCCCTTGTTTTAAGATGAGGAAAATGATGCCCAGAAGGGTCAAATGACTTGCTCTAAGATATGTAAGTCCACAGCTAAGCCTGGACTGGAACCCAGGTTTTCAGACTTCAGGGCTTAGCACTCTTTCTACCAACCCTTACTGTCACTTAGGCTTTGAATGTACTTAAGTATTACCAGTTACTGAGAAAAGGAGAAACCTAAATTAGAATTTTAAAACAAGCTCTAATTCTATTACCCCTTGTGTGTACGTGTATGTGTGTGTTTGTGTGTATATATAACATATATAAAAATAGGTATTCCAGGCTTCCCTGGTGGCGCAGTGGTTGGGAGTCCGCCTGCCAATGCAGGGGACACGGGTTCGTGCCCCAGTCCAGGAAGATCCCACATGCCGCGGAGCGGCTGGGCCCGTGAGCCATGGCTGCTGAGCCTGCGCCTCCAGAACCTGTGCTCCTCAACGGGAGAGGCCACAACAGTGAGAGGCCCGCGTACCACAAAAAAAAAAATAGGTATTCCTATTAATAAAACATATTATTTGAAAGTACTTCGTGCATAACTTTCACCTAAAATAGTGAATAATTCCAAACATGTCAAATGTCCAAATGAAGACTGGCTTAGGACTGGCTAATAAACTATACATCCATAAATAATAATATATTATTGGACTGATTCAGAGAAGCAGGTATATGAATTCTTAACCAATGTCTTCACTGGGTAACATTTCACTGTGCCATAAAAGTGATAACTAAAAAAAGAAGATAAATTGTATGGTGTAAGCTTATGTTTAAAACTAAAGTCAGAAGGGCATTCATGGCAATGTAAGCAGAATTTAATCATTACTAGATTCTTTGTTTTCTTCCTTAAAGTTTGTAAAAACAACTTAAGTATTTTATGTGCCTGAACTTCCAAATGTCCTAAGCATCTTTAAGTAGACTGTGAAAATACATCTGGCAATATACAGGTATCTAAATGATCAGAGTTACTAGTGATATGCAACACAGATACACTAATCTAAAAGTTCCACTGTGTAAAGCTAAGAATTAGTTACTAAAGTAAATGTAAATGTAAAAGAAAAATTTACAAATTGAGAAAAAACAATATAGATGTATACTTCAAATTATAATTAAGTGCTAGAATCAAGACAACTTGTCTATGACAACTTGTCTCTGTCCCCCTTCCCCTCCAAAAAACTCCCAAACCCTGCTGCTTCTGTCTTAGGAAAATGCATCAAAAACAGAAACCAGGCTTCCCTGGTGGCGCAGTGGTTGAGAGTCCACCTGCCGATGCAGGGGACACGAGTTCGTGCCTCGGTCCGGGAAGATCCCACATGCCACGGAGCAGCTAGGCCTGTGAGCCATGGCTGCTGAGCCTGCGCGTCCGGAGCCTGTGCTCCACAACAAGAGAGGCCACAACAGTGAAGGGCCCGCGTACCACAAAAAAAAAAAAAAAAAAAGAAACCAAATGAAACTGGTACATTCATACATTGCTGGTGACAACATAAACTAGTGCTATCTGTTTGAAAACACCTGGTAGCACTTTTCAAGATCTACTAAATATAAAATCATGCTTTTGAATGAATTCATGAAAAAAAACTCACACTTTTTGATTCAGGAATCTTACTACTAGATATTTATTCTAAGGTTAATAATCTCCCTAAAAGGTAAAGGCCTACATTCATAAAGATGCTATAATACAGACAGTATTTTAAATGATCATTGAAGAACACACTGAGGAAAAAAACTGCTTATGATATATTAAGTTGAAGAACACAAAATTTAAGCTACAATTACAATATAAAAATGTTAGAGAAGAATCTAAAGAAATGGAAATAGATATGCTAGTAGGAAAGTATTCTATTTAAATTTTTTTTAATTCCGTTGTTAAGATAGTAAGTGCATAATATACAAAATATTAAAACAAAAATACAAACCACAGACAAAATCTTTCAGATCCACATTCAGGATGCTTTGCCCTGCTAGCCATTCAGGGTGTGCACAGCTTACATTCACAGAATGTTGAAAGTTATTATCAACCAGCCACTGAAGCAACCACTTCAAATGGCAGTCACAGAGCAAACTGCTTGTGTTCAGAATTCTGCAGAAACAAAAGGAAAAGAAGTGCCCTTTACTTTTCATTCCAAGTTTCTCCAGCATTAAAAGCTTACTACACAGGACGTCCCTGGTGGTGCAGTGGTTAAGAATCTGCCAGCCAATGCAGGGGACACGGTTCGAGCCCTGGTCCGGGAAGATCCCACATGCCACAGAGCAACTAAGCCCACGTGCCACAACGACTGAAGCCCACGCACCTAGAGCCTGTGCTCCACAACAAGAGAAGCCACTGCAATGAGAAGCCAGCGCACCACAACGAAGAGTAGGCCCCGCTCCCTGCAACTAGAGAAAGCCCACGCGCAGCAACAAAGACTCAACACAGCCAAAAATAAATAAATTAAGAGGAAAAAAAAAGCTTACTACACACCTAAGCATTTTTCTTGCCAAAAAAATGTTTAACCTGGATCTAACCATGAAAAAACAAATTTAGACTGTCAGCCTTGTTTCCTCAAATACGACAGTGTCATGAAAGACACTAATAAAAGGGGTAGGGGGAATAAGGGTAAGGGATTTATTTTAGATTAAAGGAGACTAAAGAGTCATTACAACCAAATGTAAAGCGTGATCCTTCATTAAGAAAATATATATACACAAAGAACATTTTTGGACATTAGGGAAATCTCAGTATGGACTGCATATTAGATAATATTATTTTATCAATGTTAATTTCATTGGGTGTGATAATAGTGCTGTGGTTATATAAGAAAATAACCCTGCATAGGAAATACATGCTGAGATATTTTAGGAGTGAAGTGTCATGATGTCTGTAGCTTACTTTCGACTGGTTAAGCAAAATAATAAGTGTATGTATATACGTATATGAGTGTGTGTGGAAAGAGGGAGAGAGACAGGAGAGAAAGGGAAGGAATGAAGGAGGGAGGGAGAGCAACAGGTAACAAATTTAGCAAAGAGTTAACAATTGATGAATCCAGGTAAATGGCATATGGATGTTCATTGTACTGTCCTTTAAACTTTTGACGTTTAAAATTTTTCCCAGAGAAATTTGGGGAAGAGCTTACTATATATATTGGGACATAGAGACATCTTTGTTGTGGAGAGGGTATAATTATTTTCAAATTATTTCATCAAGACTAAAAACATTTCAGCCCTGTGGCAATGTGTACTGCAACCTAAACTAAGAACCACTGAAAAATGGTTTGTGGTTATAATAGGCCTATAAAATATACGTGAAAAGTCAGTGTTTTATTTTAATGACCCTTAAATGTCTCATCCACTTGGAAGTAGGGAAAGCAAGTGATTTTGACAACATTATAACCTGCTTTGCGTGCATCACCAAAATCCTCAAGTAATTTTAAAGTTTGGTATAAAAATACCTAAGATCTGATTCCAAACAAGTTTCAAACAGTCTTTAAGGGTACCCCAAAAGCCATACTTTATCAAGGGCAATTTTAATTAAGCAGGCCAAAAGTTACCTTTTGCATTTCAGAATTCTTATGTTATATGCATTCATTCACCGAGAAATATTTGAGTCTACTATATGCCAGGCACTGTTCTAGGCTGTCGCACTACAGCTCTCACAAAGCTTATGTATTTAGAGCTAAGCAATAAACAAACAAATGCAAAGTATAGTGTCAGAAAGTTAAGTCCTGTCAAGAAAAACAAAGCTGGGCATAGACGTAGAGACAGCAGCTACCAGTTTAGATAAAGCAGTCAGGGAAAGATTCTTTGAAGAGATGGCATTTGGGCAAAGACCTGAAAGAATCGAGAGAGCAAATCACATGAAGATCTGAGGTAAGAGTGTCACAGACAGAGGAAACTATGCACAAAGACCTTGAGGCAGATACTTAGTGTGCTTAGTGTGAAAAGCAAGGAGACCACTGAAGCCAGAGCACAGAAAGTGAGGGGACAGTGACGGGAATGAGGTCAGAGAGATGGGCAAGAAGGACCAGGCCATGCAAGTGCTTTATAAACTAAGGAAAGAACCTGAGTTGTTTTTTTCCTATGTGTGCTGGGAAGACACCGGAAGGTTAAGAACAGAGGAATGATATGGTCTAACTTATGCTTTCTTAGATATAATATAAGTTACCTCGTGAGACATGGACTTACATCCTAATTCCACTACTTACCTTAGGCAAGATACTGAATGCCTCCAAAATCTCAGTTTCTATTCCTGGAAAGTGGGATTAAGAACACCTACCTCAAAAATTTTTTTAAATAAAGCATTTAGCATAGTGTCTGGCCACAGATACCACAAGATTCACATTAGTTCCCTTCACTTCTGTTTCTTTTGCATCTTTCCACCCTTCACATGCTAATGAACTCTGCTGTACCTAATGGAGTATATCCTGCATTCTCTCCGCAAGTATATGGATAGATATATACCAAATATCAACAGTGGTTGTCTTTTGAGTACTGGGGATTTGGGGTCTTTCTCTCCCTCTTGGTTTAACTATCTAATTTTCTACCATGATTACATAACTTTAATGCAGACAATTTTCAATTCATATTTGACTCTCCCACCTCCCCCCAATATTTATGCAAAGCACTGTGAACGATACCAAAAAGTATTAAGAGATGCTTTAATAAATGTTGATGTGAAATTCTGTATTATAAATACGACTTAAATTTAAAGTAACCAAAAGCAACTAAAACTTCCCAGTAAATAAGCTGCATTAGAGTTCCTGCATTAGCAGCTTGTTCAAACCGACTCAAAAAATCACCAAGTGACTCTCTGAAGAATGAAACTATGATATTTGCTTTCACCTATAAAAATTATATTTTAAACTGATTTCTCTTAACAAAAGTTAAAACTTTCTTGCTGGCCCTCAGATTATCACAACCAAAAAAAGGTAATACTGATATGCAGTAAGTTGTGCCTTTTCAAGTTAAAGTAAGCCTTAGGAGAAATAACTCAAAATATCTCAAGAGACCAAAAAAATAAATAAATAAATAAGCAAGCCACTTTAAAAATCTGGCAGACGACTTCCCTGGTGGCGCAGTGGTTAAGAATCCACCTGCCAATGCAGGGGACATAGGTTCGAGCCCTGGTCCGGGAAGATTCCACATGCCAAGGAGCAACTAAGCCTATGCGCCATGACTACTGAGCCTGCACTCTAGAGCCCGCGAGCCACAACTACTGAGCCCACGTGCCACAACTACTGAAGCCCGCGTGCCTAGAGCCCGTGCTCCACAACAAGAGAAGCCACCGCAATGAGAAGCCCGCGCGCCACAACAAAGAGTAGCCCCCGCTCAACGCAACTAGAGAAAACCTGTGTGCAGCAATGAAGACCCAATGCAGCCAAAAATAAGTAAATAAATTTATTTTTTAAAAAATCTGGCAGAAAATAACAAAAGATGATCTCCATAACATTTTAACTTTTGTTATTATCTTAGTTATTCCCCTTTTACTATATGCCAGGCTCTGTGTGGAGTATCTTCTCAAAACCCTCAAAAGCTTTCTAATGCACTTAGAGGGAAAAAAGTCCTAACTCCTCATGGCCTATTAGGCCCTACATGATCAGGCCTGTTTATGTCTCTGACCTCATCTCCTACCATTCTTTCCCTTGCTCTTGTCTTCCAGCCACATCAGTGTCTCTCCAGTTCTTCAAGCACAAAAAGCAAGCTCCTTCCTCAGGGCCTTTTCACTTGCTCTTCCCTGTGCCTGGAATGCCCTTCGCCCAGTATAAGATGGTTTGCCATTTCATCTCACTAAGGGCCTGGCTCAAAGGCTGTTATCTTCAGAAAAGCCTTCCCTCACTACTTCAAGATAGCAATCCCTGTACGCTGTACACCTTTGACCCAGCTTTTTCTTCAGAACATTTATTATCTGGTTTACTATTTATCTTCCTAACAGAATTTTGTAATATGCTATGAAGATAGAGACTTTGTCTTGTTCACTACTGTATTTTTAGCATTTAGAACACTACCTTACATAGCAGATGACAATAAACATTTCTTCCATAAACAAATTATCTCATTTTATCTTCACATAAGCCTGAGGGTGGTGCTCTTCCCATACTGAGAAGGGAAACTGAGTCCTAGGCTAAACACACAGTTGTAAAGAATGGGGCAAGAATCTAAACCGAGGCAATTTGAACTCACATACTTCCAGTGCAACTCAAACTATATGTGGAGAAGGACCAGTTTTTTAAATTCCCAATCTGTTATAGATCAATACTTTTATAAAATTCAACAGAAGTGTCACAGTAAGGTCAAATTGTTCTATAAGTTTCTAAAAAGCTTGCTCTGAATTTCTGTCCTTCTCTCGTCATGAATCAGCTCTGGTCCACAGACCTCCCTCTGAATAGCCTTCAGGCAAGGCAAGGTAAGTTGATATAGCCCGTTGATTCTTACCAGTGGCTCAATATCCGAATCACCAGAGTTTGAAATTAAGAGCAACGCCCAACTAACCAACCCACCCCTGGGAAATCCCCCCTGGGAAATAAGAACAGTTTTTTTAAATCATGAATGAAAAAACGTTAAAATGATATGTATTTTTCTATCATAACTATTCAACAGTTTTGGAACATTTTAGTAGTTTGAACAGATTAGAGACATCCTCTGTGACCATTATACTGAAAGTGCTAGATCACCTCCAAAAATTACATAATACCTTAATTGTAACTCATCCCAAGAGAACACATGTCTCCAACAGTCCAGAAGGGAAGAGGGGAATAAAAAAGGAACAGTAGGGTAAACATAAAGCATAAGCAGCGTTGCTAAGGTCTCTTTAACTATATGCATCAGCAACACAGGAAAAAAACAGAAGGTCTTGGAGCCACACACTCTGGACTTTTCAATGTTATTTTTAAATTACATCCAGTCACTAAAATAACTGAATGTTAACACTTTCTTTTTTCCTGCCTGAATTGTGTGCTTTGGGAAACATCTGGGTCACATTCATCACACTTTAAGCACAAGCGTGGATAATGATCTAATTAGTGACAAAAAAGACTTAAGTTACGTACAGTTCTTTCAAGCGAGTCTGGGAAAAAGCATTTTCTTGGATAGACATTATAGCATTGTTGTTCAAATCTCTGAAATGAAGAGAAATGAAACATTACCAGTCACCATTTCTACAATTAAGTTATATAAACACTTTAAATGGTCATGAAAACCTCTGCTAAGAGCAAACATTATTTATACACTGAGCAAAATGGCTGAAAAATACTTACAGATGCTCAAGGGATTCAAGACCAATGAATGCTTTCTTTGTAATTGACTTAATCTGATTTCCTTGTAAGATTCTGAAATACAAACAGACCTTTCTAATAAAGCTCTCCACTAAACAAAATTAAATTCATTAAAATAAACATTTACCTATAACGAGTGAAAATAAGCCTAACATGCATTCTTAAGAAAGTTGTGAACCTTCATTATTAACCAGTGTGAAGCACAGAATAAATGTGTCTATTAAGATGTCAGCGCTCAGTGAGGTATCTATAAACAACCATCCTGACCACAGATACACCTGTAGTCTTCATATAATAAACTGGATTACATTCCCAGTTTCTCCCTTCTCAGCAAAAGATCATCCAGTCAAAGAAACTCAGACAAGTGTGAAGTCTGGGAGACATTCTTATGGGAGAAGACCTAAAATCTTGCTTGAGAGAATCCTCTCTTGCTAAATTACCCATAAATCTCACATGATTAAACAGATCATGGTTCAATTCTGGTTTCAGTGCATTTCTTTTACTTAAATCAAAATTTTAGTTCCATAAATAACTTCTCTTTAAGTGACACTAAGAATGTTCTTTCAGAAAGTGCCCCACCACAAAAAAACAAAATGAAAAACAAACCGAAAAACAAAAACCTTAATAAACAATGAAGCTTCTTCCTTTAGTGGGTGAACCAGAAGGCTCAGACTTTCTAGCCACAGCAAATAGACACAATCCAATCACATTTACAATTGGTTCTTTAAAATATACCTTCATAGACATACATAAATATCATAAATACATACAATTTAGTGAGACTTGTGAGTCCAGCAAAGGCTTCACTAGCATCTTCTATGGCCCATGAAATTTCATTGTTTCTTAAGTTTCTACGAAAATGTCAGGGATAGACAGGTTATGTTAGTCAACATGACCATTACACCATCAGGCATCATCCAGACATAGCAATGCTAATTTTAATTTTGATCCTTACAGTAAAGGTTAGGTTATTTATGATAAACACTCAACTCTTCTTTTTAAAGAATACCTGAGATAAGCATGTAAGAACTAATTCTCGTAAGCTAAGAATTAAGCCGACCTTGATAAATAAATTAAGCAACCTGCTAAGAGTATTAATCTTCCTAGCTAATAGCCCGTAATTGTGTTAGCATATTAAAAATTATAGTCAGGGCCCTAAAAAGAGGAGGATTTCAAGATGCAGGGGGTATGGCTTACAAATCTTATTTCAGACTAATGGGATTTTGGGGTGATCCAAGCCTTCCCCTGAGCCCTTAAATCTAAAATGGCTGACAAAAAGTAATGTCAATACAGAGCTCAACAGCTCTTCAGAGCTTCACAGCTCAACAGCAATTAAACATGCCCCCCGGAAAGTAAGAATGATATACCCATGTGCTAGAGTGATCACTCTGTTTTCTTTAAAAGGAAAAGTATGGATCTTTTAAAATCCACTGTTCCATTCTCAGACGAAATGCAATTGCACCACACCATGTCATCATGGAAGAAATACCAGTTAAAGATATTTAATCACTTTTGCTTCCTTAAGTCATCTCATAATAAAGCACAAAGTTTTTTGCTTTATAAGACATATGTAGGGCTTCCCTGGTGGCGCAGTGGTTGAGAGTCCGCCTGTCGATGCAGGGGACATGGGTTCGTGCCCCGGTCTGGGAAGATCCCACATGCTGCGGAGCGGCTAGGCCCGTGAGCCATAGCCGCTGAGTCTGCGCGTCCAGAGCCTGTGCTCCGCAACGGGAGAGGCCACAACAGTGAGGGGCCCGCGTACCGCAAAAAAAAAAAAAAAAAAAGACGTGTAAAGTTATGTGAATAACAGTAAGGAGATAGGAGATCACTCTTCCCATTTAGCTATGTCTTTACCTGAAGTGAAAGCTAAGAAAGATCATTTTATTTTACTAAAGAATAAACACTGAAACAACTGATGGCTCAACTCTACAGGACTTTTCCCTCTCCTCTACAGAACAGCATAAATAGAACTCACTCACCAAAGGGAGTAAGAAGTATATCTACTCTGGCAAGAGCATTGATCTAAAGCCGGAATATCTCAGATCTGTTCCTAATTCTGACTTAACTATTTTTGTAGCATTAGATAATCATTTACGTCTGCAATTACTTTCCTAAACTTTAATGCTAAAAGTAATAATCAGTGGTGTACTAAAAGAACCTGTCTGCCATCGCGTGCACTGCCAAAAGACTACAGCTGCATCTAATATAAATTCCTGAGTTTGCACTGATCTAATTTAACCTCTGATAAGGTAGAAAAGAGAAAAATTTTTTAAAAAAAGGAAATCACTTTTACTTTTTCAAGGCCAAATCTAAAGGAGGACTACTTCATTAAGTTAAAAACAAAAGAAAAAACATCAAACACACACAGGTGCACACATAGACACCTTCACAAAATTATCATGCTTTCTTTGTCACTTATGGTTAGGTCCCAAAGTTGGAACCTGCCTCTTTTCTGAGACCATTTATCAACTAAACCTGATGACCAAAAAGTTCCCTATTCAGGAACCTTAAGAATCTACAAATTCTACTAATTACTCTTTTTCTCTTATTCTGCTCTATGTTTGAGATTACTATATTTCATTAAAATACCTCTTCATTCAATTATATTCCATGATCAGGGTAAAACATTCAACTTACAGAACAACAGAAGTTTAGAGTTGAAACTGCCTTTTGCAACCATCTAATCCTATATCCATCCTTCACTGGACATAAAAAAAACAAAAAACAAAAAAAAAAACCAGGAAAGGCTAAGTAATTTTGTCCATCTGACAGTAAAATGAAAAGCACATGAGGGACTTCCCTGCTGGCGCAGTGATTAAGCATCCACCTGCCAATGCAGGGGACATGGGTTCGAGCCCTGGTCCGGGAAGATCCCACATGCTGTGGAGCAACTAAGCCCATACGCCACGACTACTGAGCCTGCGCTCTAGAGCAAGCCCACGGCAACTACTGAGCCCAAGTGCCACAACTACTGAAGCCCACACGCCTAGAGCCCATGCTCCGCAACAAGAGAAGTCACCACAATGAGGAGCCCGTGCACCGCAACAAACAGTAGCTCCCGCTCACAGCAGCTAGAGAAAGCCTGCATGCAGCAACAAAGACCCAACAGAGCCAAAAATACATAAATAATAAATAAATAAATAAATTTATTTTTTTTTAAAAAGCACATGAGCTTTAGCATAAAAAAGACCTGGGAAAAGACCTGGGTTCTAATCCTGGCCCAAACATTTACAAGGTATATGACTTTAAACAAATCATTTAATCTCTCTGAACCTCAGTCCCCCAGTATGGAAAAGAGCAATAATATCCCAGTACTCTGAATGCACCTGGCACATATCAGATCATTAATAAATGTTAGTTTTATTTGTCCAAAGTCATGCAGCAAACTGGTAACAGTGAAGAGGTTTCCTGCCAGAGCTGTTCCCACTATATGTCCTGCATCCTTTTGAATGAGAAGTGGTAGATCTGGTACACTACTGGTAGTTCTAGGTCAGAGGAGTAAGAAAATGTGCATTCCTGACACTAGCAACTGTGTTTTATTCCACAGTAACTGGCACAATAAGAGATGCTTTGTTGTTTAGTTAACTCAGAATTAAAGTACAAACTGAAATGGCTAGAGATACATAAAATTTACATATAGGGATAGAGATAAGCAAGACTGTCTTGCCCCAAGGCATAGGAGAGAAGAACTGCAAAATATTAACATACATAATATGTACACTGATTAGCTGTTTTGCTTTAGTGCTTTAAAAAAATTAGTTAAAAAAAAAAAATCCCCAAAAAGGAGAGATATACTTACAGTGTCTGAAGATTGGAAAGAAACCTAAATACACCATCAGCAATGTGAGTGACTCTGTTGTCCCCTAAGTTCAATCTCTCCAGTAAGCTCAGACCCACAAAGGCAGATTCATCCAGGCGGGTCAACTGGTTATAGGACAAATCACTAAAAACAGGAAACATGGAAGGTAAAAAATTCACTCTCTTCTAGTTCAACTTTCATATTCTTATTCTACTTACATGATAAATTTAGGGCTTTCAAACTTCTAATAAAGAGGGATATTAGATCTCATTACTGGCCATGGGAATGACTTATTCAATCTGCTCTAGTCTCACAGCTTCCACTGAAATGCCATCTCACACTTACAGTTCAGACAGTCTTTGGCAGAACTCCCATGCATCAGGGCTGATTCTTTCAACAGCATTCTGGCTCACATAGAGCTGTTGTAACATTCGCAAGCCATACAACCACCCCTTGTTCACTTCTGTAAGGTTATTATGCTCCAGTTCTCTGCAGAATTAAAGAAAGGAGGGAATATGTTTCAAAACAAGGCATGCAGGACTTCCCTGGTGGCACAGTGGTTAAGAATCCGCCTGCCAATGCAGGGGACACGGGTTCGAGCCCTGGTCCAGGAAGATCCCACATGCTGCAGAGCAACTACGCCCGTGCACAACTACTGAGCCTGTGCTCTAGAGCCTGTGAGCCACAGCTACTGAAGACCACATGCCTAGAGCCCGTGCTCCGCAACAAGAGAAGCCACCGCAATGAGAAGCCTGCACACCACAACAAAGAGTAGCCCCCACTCACCACAACTAGAGAAAGCCCGCGTGCAGCAACAAAGACCTAACGCAGCCAAAAATAAACAAAATTAAATCTTTAAGAAAAAAAACAACAACGAGGCATGCAATGAGAAGATTCCAAAAATCTTCATTAAGTCTTGCACAGAGAGGCATATACCATTGCTCAACCCAAGTGAGCAGACAAATTCTATTCATAAATATGTACATGTTTCTTAAGATTTAGTGCAAGAAGCCTGTAAGACTCTCTAAAATATCATATCTATAAAATCAACTCACCAAGAGATAGAGTATACCTGTTCTGGATAAATCCTAATAATTTTCATCAGTCAAACATTAAGGGAATATAAACTTTTCAGATGAAATGTTTGGAAGAATGATGACAAAAATACCAGTTAGATAACAAAGCTTAAATCTTAATTTATTTCACATAAGAGAAGGGAGGAAGAGCTAAAATACTTTGTTATAATTAAAGCTACTATCCTAGCTGTTCGGCACTGAAAAGCCCCAGACTCCCTTCCTAACAATCTCCTATTCTAGTTCATAGTACTTACAATTCTTCCATGTTATCCAAGCCAAAAAAAGCTCCATCCTTGAGTTTGCTAATTCCATTCCGCTGCATTTTCAAAGATCTTAAGGAGTCTAGACCTTGGAATGTGAGACCTTCCACAACTTTAATCCTGTTTCTTTTAAGTTCCCTTTAACAGAAATAGTTTTACAGTCAAAAAATTGGTTTGCTGATTTGCCCTAATAATAATAAAAAGAAACAGACATATAAGAAAAAACAATCTTCTTATAATCCATCTATTTAGTTACTCACAAGAATTGGAGGTGAGGTAGCTTGAAGATCTTGGGTGGAATCATGCTAATTCTATTCCTGTTTAACTTTACCACTAATAAGGAACTTGACAAATTATTGAAGCAACCAGCCTCCAAGATGGTTATCCTATTATTGCTCAAATTCCTAAAATGAATAAGATAACAACAACAAAAATTCAGTGAAACTAAACATTCTACCACTGTAAAGCTGCCTCAAGTCTATGACTAAGCCCCAGCTCTACCACTTAGCAACCGTATGCAACTTTACAAATCATTTAACTGCTTTGTTTCTTCAAGTACAAAATAAGGATAATACCTACTTCATTTGGGTTGAAACAGTATATGTGAATGTGCTTTGTAAACTGTAAAACACTAGCACTCACGCTAATTATCACCACCATTACACAGGTTAAGCACTGTTTAACAAACTACTCCCATTTACCTTTTACATGACTGTTAGTAAAACATAATCCAGAATTAAATCTCAAAAATTACCCTGGATACTTAATATTTTCTGAAAATAGTGTACTCTTTAAGGGAAGAAAAAAAAACAAAAAAATCTAACCTAGGTTTGTTTCACATAAGCATATCAAAATCACAATAAATAAGACATATCTGGGAAGATAAATATCAATGAATAATAAACATGCACTTCAAATTAAATCTAGTTTAAACTCTATTTTACTTACAGGTATTTAAGCTGCATTCGAGGAAATGAAGATGTCTTGACTTCTGATATTATATTTGAGCTGAGATCTAAACTCTCGAGAGCAGGATAAAACTGGAACGCTTCTGCATTTATTTCTGGGATTACATTATGGACTCTATAAAACAAAGATTATATTAAAGCTATTGCCAGTGATCCACCCTAAACCACAAAAATGTTAAATAATTAGGATCAACAACAAGGGTACCTAAAACAAAAACAAAAAAAACTGTGTACTATGCATAATTTAAGTAAAAGACCTGAAATTTTATTTACTTACAATGAGAGAAGAGTAATATTAGTGGTTGGTTCTCCAAAATATGGAATTTCAGTTAGCTCATTATAATTCATTTTCCTGAGTAGGGGGAAAAATAGATATAAAAATTTAGTGAGGGAAATGCTACCTCGAGTTCTAGTTTCTGGCTAGTACATATTCTTTAGGATAAATGCCAAATCTGAAAAAAGCCTATGACCCAGAATGAGTTAGACTAAATATTTTCTACTGAGAAATTAGAGATTTTAATAAAAAAATGTTTTCATGGTATAGATCTATGATTTGATACCAATATTAGAAAGGTTAGGAAATATTTTGCACATTAAATATTTTTAATCCCAGCAAGGTTATTTGAATAGTTACTATTATGACTGCTAATTTAAGTCCTTCTTAAACAAAGAATAATTCATATCTCTCTATATATATTTATTTATAATAAATAAAATAAATTTATATATAAGTTAATTAAATAAATTTTTAAAATACACACGCACACACACATTTTTTTGTTACTCAAAGTTAGGGAAAGTTGCTTGAGACTACAGACCTAAAAGATTATCTCAATTGTTTTAGTAGCAAATCTAATGCAATCACATTTCACCAACCTGTTTTTCAATCACTGAACAACCTCAACAATCTAGAATACAGAAAAGAAGCCAGAAGTAAAAGGCCTCCAAGTAATCAACTGAAGTTACAAAGTCCATGTAATAAATAATAAGGCCATGCACTTCCCACTAAGCATTTTCCTTTCCTCAGGACCTACGCTTTCAGCTAATAAGCTTGTCAATTGTTCATTCAGTCCACAGCAGATTAGGGGCAGCCAATTTGAGGCAGGGAAGGAGAGAATGCAGAACAAATGAGAGCACAAAGTACCCCTTGTCAGAAAGAAATTCAAAAGAAAAATTCATCTGAGGATTCTGAGGGTGTTTAGTATAGAGGTAAACAGGCCTCAACAGTTGTGCCTCTGGGAATACCACAATGCAATAACTGATATTAATAATATTTTAGAAACTTCTCTCCAGAAACTACATAATAATACATCTCAGTACTAAAAGAAAAACTTCAATGAAGAGGAAAACTGAATTATATTAACTACCATATTCCAGGTGATACCAAAAATATTGTATTTCATATAAACCTACTTCAGACATGATGCTTCCACCTTAGACAAGTCAAAACATTAAAAAAAAAAAATTTACACAATACAGAGTTTCACTGGCTGAAACTCTGGCAAAAAATAAAATATATTCACTCTGAAGAGGGGAAATCTTATTTTAGGCCCCAAGGAAGTAGAACAGTATTTCTACGCAGTTTACAACTTGAAATCACCAATGCAATGGCATAATACCCAGAGAGTTTGTGATACTAACAAAGCCAAAGACAAGTTTAGGCTTTTAAACATGTTTTAATCTAAAGTTTTCTTTCCTTCAATTTTTTGACATTTTTGCATTAAACATCCTGAAATTCATAATTCATCAAATCACCTCAAAGAATTTAATGTAAGTTTAAATAAATAAAAATAACTTACACTTCTTGTAATGTTTGAGATTCCAAGCTTATGTTCCAGTTAGACAACCGATTATGACTCAAATCCCTAAATGGAGGATAAGAGATCATTCTTAGTTTAGCCCTAGAAAGCACACTTAAAGGAAAAAAAAAAAACAAAAATAGGAATCTAAATGCCCTATCAAATGTGAATTTAAGTAGTACAGATAAAAAGAAATGTTTATAATGTATGAATAAAAATTTATGTAGATTTCAAAATAGCTCTTTTACTTTCTCCTTTTTATAGGGTTTTTTGTTTTTGTTTTTACTAAGAAATACATTCACATGGTTCAATAATCAAAAAGTATAAAAGGATATACAGTAAAAAGTCTCCCACCCTTGTCTCCAGCCATCCAATTTCCCTCCCCAACAGCAACAAGTGAAAATATACCATTTCTTTTACAGCCTGTCAGATACTTTATGCATGTACCAGAAAAGTTTTACACAAATGGTAGAATAATTTACACATTATTTTGCCCCTTGGTTTTTTCACTTAACATATCTTGTAGATCATTCCACAGAGATATTATGGTTTCTTTATCCCTTCCAGTGATTATGTTACACTTTATTATAATGCAGTATGCTTCACATACTTTTGAAAGAAATATATACTTTTAAAGTAACATAATATAAAGTAATATATACTTTTAAAGTAATATATACTTTACATAATATATAATACATATTACACTTTAGCTGTAGATAAACTTGAAGATGGATTAGATTTCACAAGTCAAGACAGTGAGCTTATGTATTAGAATTGGGGTTGACCACATCCTTGATAGAGATGTAGTCTTCCTTAAAAGCAAAAAAAGCAATCTAGCTTCAGGGAAGGGAAATTCATCTCACTCCAAGTTACGTTAATGATGATGGTGGTGGTGGCGGCAGGAGCTAACATTTATTAAGTGCCAGGCACTCTTCTATGCACTTTATACATATAAATCTGCCTAAGTCCACACAACAACTTTATGAGGCAAATACCAGAAACAGACAGAGATTAATAATTTGTCAAGCCAAGGTCACACAGCTAATAAGTGAGGAAGTGAAAAATTTGAAATTCCATCTCACTTCTAATGAGTAGTTTATTAGATACAGCACAGATTTCACTCAAATTAGTCATGAGTCTAAATATTTAAATAGGCTTAAAAATTCACCTTGCTGCTTTCTGGCATCTTTTCAAGACTGAGGTGGAATCTAGCCCACACAAGCTGTCTGCCCAAGAGATGTATTACACATTACAATATGGCTAGCAATAGGGATACACTAGAGAAACATTACAGATCACTTTATCTCACTGTACCACCACGGGCAGTTGACAGATGCATGCAGTTTTGAACGCTGTCTCTATCACAGCACAATTTGTTCTCAGCTAGTTTCATGTCTGTCCATCTGTAAAACCTAGCCACTTTCATTTAAGAGCTTAATTTACACCATAATATAACTAAGGCTAGATCAAACTGCCACTTTTTCACACAGTTCTAAAACCTTTATTCTAAGATATATGGCACCAGGTATCAGCTCAAGGACACTCATGAATGGAGGGGTGTGTTGGGAAATGTTAAGAGAGAAAAACATGAATTCACTCCACATAAAAATCTTATATGCAGACACTGTCATCCAATTCACACTTGCTACCGAACAACAAACACAGAATTTCACACGAGTGAAAAGATGTTTATTTACTGTGGTGTTTCAACTTAAGGAGAAATGCGACTTCTCTAATTTAAGTTAGATACTCCATATTCTACTGCAAGGTGGCTGGTCTGGCAAACAGAGAGCTAATATCATCTGTATAGTAGGCTACCACAGCATCATTTACTTCTACATCTCATGCTTTCTGGAATTTTCCTTTTACAGATTAAGGGCTTTCATTTTAATCAGTGCCTCTAATGCCTTTCCAAACCCTAACCTCCTTGGCAGTATAACTTTTGATTGTACTATCCCCTATATTTCTCTCATGGATGTCAATGATGACCAGACAATCAGTTTTAAAGAAAACCATTATTAAAGAAATCAAAAGCAATCAGATTAAACTTAACTTATACATAGTATAAACCACTATATATTCAGGATCAGTGAAAACTGTCCACTGTCTCTACTGGGTGAAAGAATAATTTTCTCTGTGTGTTTGAAAAACCTCTAACGCTTTTTGATGGAATCCAAAAGATACCTGAAATAATTTGGAGCCTCTCTACAGACTAATGCTGTCTTAAGAATATACGCTTCAGGGCTTCCCTGGTGGCGCAGTGGTTAAGAATCCGCCTGCCAATGCAGGGGACACGGGTTCCAGCCCTGCTCCGGGAAAATCCCACATGCCACGGAGCAACTAAGTCCGTGCACCACAAGTACTAAGCCTGCGCTCTAGAGCCTGCTAACCGCAACTACTGAGCCCACGTGACACAACTACTGAAGCCCGCACACCTAGAGCCCATGCTCCACAACAAGAGAAGCCACTGCAATGAGAAGCCTGTGCACTGCCACAGAGTAGCCCCTGTTTGCCACAACTAGAGAAAGTCTGGGCGCAGCAACGAAGACTCAATGCAGCCAAAAATAAATAAAATAAATAAATAATTTTTTTAAAAAAAAGAATATATGCCTCGGGCTTCCCTGGTGGTTCTGTGGTTAAGAATACGCCTGCCGATGCAGGGGACACGGGTTCATGCCCCAGTCCGGGAGGATCCCACATGCCACGGAGCGGCTGGGCCCGTGAGCCATGGCCGCTGAGCCTGCGCGTCCGGAGCCTGTGCTCCGCAACAGGAGAGGCCACAACGGTGAGAGGCCCGCGTACAGCAAAAAATAAATAAATAAATAAATAAATAAATAAAAAAGAATACGCCTGCCAATGCAGGGGACACGGGTTTGAGCCCTGGTCTAGGAGGATCCCACATGCCGCGGAGCAGCTAAGCCCGCCTGCCACAACTGCTGAGCCTGTGCTCTAGAGCCCGTGAGCCACAACTACTAAGCCCACGTGCCACAACTTCTGAAGCCCACACGCCTGGATCCCATGCTCCACAACAAGAGAAGCCACCGCAATAAGAAGCCTGCACATGGTAATGAAGAGTAGCCCCCGGTTGCCGCAACTAGAGAAAGCCCACGCGCAGCAACACAGACCCAACGCAGCCAAAAATTAATTAATTAATTTCAGAAAAAAAAAGAATATATGCCTCACAGGTCGGAACCACATATAATGAGACTCTCTGGACTTTTCTGCAACAAATCCACGTTGAACAGATTAAAAAACACTAACAATGAGCTGAAATACACTCCCAAAGTGGTACTATCATAGAAAGCAACTAGTATAAATCATATAGCTGTTTTCTCAAAATACCAGATGTGTAACTAGAATTATATGGATTGATCTGATCACCAGGTATTCATGCAATAAGCATTTATTGAACCATGTGCCAGACACTGTGCTAAGTGCTAAGGTTACAACCACTGTCAACTTTAGTAACCTTTTTGTCTTTTTTTTTTTTTTTTTTCCCCGGTACGCGGGCCTCTCACTGCTGTGGCCTCTCCCATTGCGGAGCACAGGCTCTGGACGTGCAGGCTCAGCAGCCATGGCTCACGGGCCCAGCCACTCCGCGGCACGTGCTATCTTCCCGGACCGGGGCACGAACCCGCATCCCTGCATCGGCAGGCGGACTCTCAACCACTGTGCCACCAGGGAAGCCCCTTTTTGTCTTTTTTGAAAGCAACATTTGTAGTACTCTGTGGAGTCACTTCAAAATGGTAAACATAAATTCAACATCAACTCAACTACTATCCTTCACTGAAAAATGTGTAAATTAACTTTCTTTTCTATCTAGATTTCACTCTGGCATTTAATATGACATGGGTATACGAAGGTACACAGACACACTCCTGCTCTCCATAAGAAATTTCCGATTTATTTTTTTAAAGTAGTCCAAAAAGGCTGAAAAAGATAAATTTGAAGCCTTCAAATATCAGATGTAAAACTTTTATATTAAGAATTTGAATAATTTTCAAAATGAAAGTCTCTATTCTTGCCAGTGGCCAGTCATTAATTTCATTTAGTTCACATAAACTAATGCTAGTTTATCTGTTTTTGTTTTCTAAGTTCAAGTCCTGAAATGGAGAATGTCTTTCAAAGATCTTCCCCTTGAAATATCCTTAAAATGCACTTAATAGTTGAAGTAATCTAATGCTTGACAAACACAACCTAAAGAGTCTAGCTTTTTAACAGTCAATAATCTTTATTTTTTAACAAGACTAATATCTGAATATTTATGGATACGATGTCTGGAGAGTAAAGGTCTCTCAGCGAAGGCCTTACTTAGTAGCTCAGTGTTATACTCAGTTCCCACTCATGCTAATCTACAGGGATGTAGCTGTAATAAAAGATGAATTATTAAAGTTCTTGATACCATGTGGAGCCAGAGGTGCCATTAATGTAGCCATTTTGTACCATCAGGGTGTAAATAATTTATAGGATATGCAGAGCAATCACAACAGTTTGAGGAGAATCAAGTTCTGCAAGCTAATTGCAAAGAAGTTCTGTAGCAATGGAGATGTTGAAGTTTTCTTCTGCCCAGTCATATATGTACACTTTTGAGTCATCATCCATCTTATTTGTTTTTGAATATCTGCTGTTTTGAGATAGCTTTTGGTATAAAGCTGTTAGTGATAAAGGAAAAGTAAACCTAAAAGCAGACAGAATTTTGAGTTGTTTTGGGATCCCTGTCTTTAGTATACTCCAAGAGTACTTAAGATAATCAGCCTGTTAAATCACAGTACTAGGACATCCCTGGTGGCACAGTGGTTAAGAATCCGCCTGCTGGAGACACTTTTTTTTCCTCCCTCCTTCCCTCCTCTCGTCCCTTCCCTTCCCCTCTCCTCCCCTCTCTCCTCTTTCCCCACTAAAAAGAATCCGCCTGCCAATGCAAGGTACATGGGTTCGAGCCCTGGTCTGGGAAGATCCTACCTGATGCAGAGCAACTAAGCCCATGCGCCACAACTACTGAGCCCTCGCGCCTAGAGCCCGTGCTCCGCAACAAGAGAAGCCACCGCAATGAGAAGCCCGCTCAC